AATTAATGATTGTTGATTTTCGATATCAAGTAATTTGACAAAGCTGGCTCTTGTAGCGGCTTCTGTTTTCTAATTTATGGCGATTTCGTAATTGCATTCACTTCGACTGCGCCTTCACGCACAGATAATAAATCTGCAGTTTAAAGATGAGTTTACGAAATTATTGATGAGGAAATAGTGAATAAAAACCGCGAAATCGAATGTTGGAATACGCCTCACAAATATAAAAGTTTTCCGTACAAGAAATTACTTTTGATTGGTTAGTTTATTTGTAATACAGCATAGCATATAGTAATGCGTTATACAAATTTATACGGAGCTTAGAGGGTAACCTTAGGCAATATTCTATGCTAAAGATGAAGTGCTGTCCCCCTGTTGTGGAGCCTGATCGTGGACGACCTAATAGTTTTGCTATCGGACAATGGCATCCGCTGTCAAGGTTATAGCGAAGTTATTGTTATTATAGCCGAAGGTAAGTTCGAGGACACTCTCTGCGACCAAATGCAAAGATATTTAAGCCTAATTAAAAGATGGTGAAATGTGTGTGAGTTGACCATCAACCACTGCAAGATGACCATTGTACTGTTCACGAGACGTAGGTAACCGCCCGGCCTCAGGAAACTTACCGTTGGGGGGAAGTAGTAGAGATGACCAGTATGATCTAACATATTATTATCTGGGTTTCACGCTAGATTCCACTCTGCGGTGGAAGTAACATGTTGACCTGACCATGGTAAAAGCGACTAAGGCACTAACGGTGTGCAAACAACCAGCTGGTAAATCCGAGGTTGCAAGCCAAGGATCCTTAGGTGGTTATTTACCATGATCGGCGTGTCGGGTGCAATGCGCAGTTGTGCTGACACCCTTCACATAGAAATTGGTCAGGTAGCAAAATATACATTGATAGAACAATCAAGTGGTACACTGAAGACTTGAAAATATTGGTGGAAATTAGTGCAGGACTCACAAGGCCAGACACCAAACTATCCATACTTATGAGAAGTTTTCTGAGCATTTTTCGGACTACTTATCGGACACTGGCCACTGCAAGCTGAAAAAGAATTTATACTGTGTATCTGTTTGAGGAAGCCTGAAATACGAGTACCAGAACAACTGCAAATAATCTGCACAGTGGTCTGCAGACACATGTTGAAGGCCTTTGATCAATGTTTCCAAATCGGGATCACAACGCTTTGCTAGCATCTAACAGTATGTTGAACTTTATCAAAATGCACCAGCAATCAAATGTTAGATACTCTTGCAATTTTTAGAAGCTGGGCCTGTGAAGATTTTGAAGCTGTCTGCAATAAATGAATTCAACATTTTGTCTTAGGATGAACCATCAACCAATCAAAATTCTTATTCTTATTCATGAAACTAACTTTCTTTTTTTTTTTTTTTTTTTTTTTTTTTTTTTTTTTTTTTTTTTTTTTTTTTTTTTTTTTTTTTTTTTTTTTTTTTTTTTTTTTTTTTTTAATCTCTCAAAAGTATGCCAAGAGAAATATGTACTTATAAATATATCGAAGAAGGAAAAGCGAATGAACACGGAAGGAACGGTGGATAGACGGTAAAAAGGCGGAGTGAAGATGAACGGACAGGCGCACATAAAAAAATTAGGAATAAAATAACAAGGAAATAACTATATTACGAGGCTATATTAAAATTCCAATTGTGATAGCTTTTCCCTCACTAAGCTGAAAGACATACTTACCAAATAATGTAGTTCCTTGGCAGAAAAATGAAATACCTTGTTTATGTTTACTGTTCCTAAAACTGCTGGCGCTTATTTTTGCCTTAGGATGAGTGTTTATTATTTTTGAAACAAATACTGATAATCAACAAAAATGTGGACATAAACAATTTAGGTTGTGCGTATCACTGGAAACACCTCTTATTTTACTAAGTACTTGCCGCCATAGACTTTCTGTGACTACCCACTCAAAGCAAAGGGTTCACGTTGTTTATTTATATTCCCTGACTTTCCTTAGTATCCGTATTATTTTGTATATATGTATATGTATATRAAAAAGTTACTTTGCTTAAAAGTATTTAAAAAATTCTGTTGTAAGTACAATGAATAGCACCAAATTAAAAACCTTTTCAATTTTTATACCAATCGTTGTAATTTGTCTAATAGAAAACGCCTCAATGCCTACAAATATTAATATATTTTAAAAATGATAATCGAAAGCTCTTAATTAAACAAATCTTTATGCACTAATAATGCATCATCATAAAACATACAGATGTCATAATTGCAATGCGATAAGAATGGCTCCGCAATTTTTCTGTCATATAAAGCACTAATTCATAAATTTCGCAATTCAAATGAATGCCAATGCATCGAGATATGCATTAACGTCAATAACATATATTGCATAAATGCAGCTGCAATCAACAAATTAAACAAATGTGTAGGCATGTAACTATTTATACACTAGAGGAAATTGGAACTATGCAGCACATGGTCTAGTACCAGTCTCTTATAGGAGTAGTTACAATGATAACTAGTTTTGAAATAGTTCCAAAAATATGAAAAAGAATTTTCCGATGAAGTAGATCAGGATCGCGGTCAACATCACGGTCTACTACCGGTATCAATGCGAGTAGTTACATTAGTAACTAGTTTTGAAATAGTGCCAAAAATATGCAAAAGAATTTTCGATAGAGTAAATCAGTATCGCGGTTTAGTACCCGTTTCTTATAGGAGTAGTTACACCGGTAACTAGTCTGGAATTAGTTTTAAAAATATTAAGTGAAATTTTTCAATAAAGTAATTCAGTATTCAAGTAAAATATATTAAATATTAAAATATATATATTTTTTTCCTTTGAAAGGTAAGCATATCTATTTTTAATTATTTTTAAACTATAATATATAATTTTTTTTTTTAAACTTGATAGTATTATCTTAGGAGTAGTTTGTAACTAGCGAAGGTTGAAGAAAATTAGTGGACGAATTTATTACTCGGCAATACCCTAACTTTAACTAACGTAACTAGTACACCACGAAGAGGAACTAAAGAAAGTATTGACTTTCCCGACAATTTTTTCCTCTATTACAATCTCATTGGGCATACTACCTTTTTTAACAAAAGCGCTTGCATTTTCCATTTATATTATTTACAACTACGCTGTTGTCTTCACCACTTTGAGCAAAGTGCATACTGTCTGCGGACAGAGTAGCCACCGCACTCTAATAAAATAGATTAATTTCTTCTAGAGCGATAAGAGTTTGTTTCACTTTTTGCTACAAACAATGACAAATGTGTGCTTTTTATGAATGAACAATAATATGTAAATAGATACCCGTCGCGTTACTAGTTTGTATGTAAATAAGCAGCGCAGATATTTGTCGTTGAATGGCAAATGGATTGGCACGTTTATCGCTGGCAATTATTATAAGAGGTTTGAAGCGATATGCATCTAGTTGTGTGCACTGAAATAAATTTCCTTTGCAAGGGTTATTACTTAGCCTCGTTCGCAAGTAGTGGTTGAGTACGAAGAGCATAAAAGTTGTATGAAGTATTTAATATCAATCGCGAAAATATATCTTAGTTTAACTTGCAGTACAGTTCGAAACTGTGGTTATATTTATGTAGGTATTTTTTTTTTTACTTTTAGATATTTGTTGAATAAGATTAAGTTCGACCACTAATGTGCGAAGCCAATCGAAGTTGTCTGAGACGAGATGCATATGAAACAACAAAAATTAATGAACAATTGGATAATGTTATGGCTAGAGGTATTATTTTGAGCTGGCCTCTGATGCAAAGGCAGAAAAAACTCAATAATTTTTGTTGTGTTGAGACTTCCGATCTGAAGATAGTGATAAATAGAATTAAGGGCATTTTAAAATATGCTGAGCTCTGGACTATGATACTCTCTATCTCTTTCGCTCTCTCTCACTCTATCTTGTTATCTTTTTTTCTTCTTCTCTATGTTTTACTCCTTCTCCCACTCTTAACAGTATTAAGGGGATTTGAAAGGATGCTGAGTTCTTGACCATGATATCCTCTATCTCCTTCCCTCTCTTTCCATAATTCCATCTCTCTCTCTCTCTCTCCCTCACTGTGGTTTGATATGTATTTTTCTCCCTCTATCTTTTTCTCTTTCACCCACTTCTAATCGAGTTAAAAAAATTTGAAAAGATGCTGCGCTGTTGACTCTTATGTCTCTCTATCTCTATCTACTCTATCTCTATCTCTTTCTCCCTCATTATTTTCCCTCTCTCTCTATATTTTTATTTCTGTGTCTCTCTCTGCTCTCTTTTCCTTACATAATCTGTAATCTGCTTTTCTCATTCTATATCTTTTTCTCTTCTTCCACTCTTAACAGAATTAAGCCGACTTGAAAAGATGCTGACTTATTGATCTTGATATCCTCTATCTTTTTAGGTCTCTCACTCATTCTTTCTATATTTTCTCACCCTCTCTCGTTCTCCCACTCTCCACCATCTCACTGTCCGACTTTTCTTCTCTCCCCCTCTTTTAACAGTATTTAAGGTGATTTGAAAAGGTTCTGAGTTTTTTCCTTTTATACCCTTAATCTCTATCACTGCCTCAATTACTTCACACTTTCGGATTCTCTCTCTTTCGTACTCTCTATGTTTTTTCTCTCTCTCTCTCTCTCTTAATTTACTAAACTTTTCAGTGTCGCTTCATAGGTTGTAGATTCATTTTTGACTTAAGCAATTTTCGCAAGAAAGAAATCGCTTTCGTCATAGACTTGTAAAACTCCATTATTTCTCAAAACGTAAGTTTTTCCTCTCATTTCTCATAGTGTATCAATAATTTCCATTAATTAAAAAGAAATCGCCCGTCAGTGCTGCTACTAATTACAGCGCTTGGCACCTGGCTGTCATTTACTGTCTACATTTAGGCGCATTAACACACAACACCTACACAGCAGTTAACGCCGCAGAAGTGAAGATGTCCGAAGTTAATGGCCGACCGCAGCACTTTTTGCACAGTTTTAACTCAATTTATTATCTTTGCAAAGTTTTAGGCATTTATCCATATGATTTGCAGAAATTCTACTACCAAGGCATACTGCAGCCCTCACGCTTGGGCAGCTGTGTGGTAGTGACGATAATGTGCATTACTTTCATGCTCTTCAACTTATCGTTATTTAACTTCAGCGATGAAGACGTCATAACAAAGAATAGTGAGTGCAAAGGAACATAGATTTATATGAATCATATATATTTTTTAAATATTGCATAAAACCAGATCACCTCAGTATCATCGTGACCATAGTGTTCACGTACATTACGCCCGCCACCATGTTCACCGACCAGATAATGGCTTTACGCAACCAACGGCGGCTACCGGAACTCTTTGAGCGTATTGACTGTGTGGACGAGGATCTACGCCAGCTGGGCATTACGGTGGATAATCGACGCGTGCAGCGTGGCATTTGGCTGATGATCACATTCACTTTTTTCTGCGAATTTTTCATATTTTTCTCTTCAATATGGTTTCTGGTCGACGAATTGAGATGGACCACAGTGCTATGGATCTTTATTTCGCTGCCCACTTTCTATAACACGCTGGATAAAATTTGGTTTCTAGGCATTCTGTTGGGGTTGCGCGATCGTTTCGATGCGATTAATGCAGAGCTAGAAAGAATAGCAGAAGAACTGGAACGGCGACAAAACCAGCAGTTGAAAGGTGAACCCTACCAGGAGCACGACTTGGTGTTGCAGACATCGCTGCCGCTGCGCACAGAACAGATCGGTGATATTTAACGAAGAGTCGTTAAGGTAATCAAAGAAATATAGACTTAGTAAATATTTTCATTCCACAGATATCAAGTTGGAGCGTTTGGTGCGCAATGCTTTCGGCGAATCGCTACTCGAACCCGTACCAATCAGAAACTACATGCTTAACATAAGCCATGAAAGCTCGCTTTACACATTCAAAGCGCTGCAGGAGCGTTTCATAAGCTTATGTCAGTTGCACGATAGCACTTGTAGGATTGCCAAGTTACTCAACGAACTCTGGTCTTATCCAATATTGATACTGATGGCTTTCGGTTTTGTCGTCTTTACATCGCAACTTTACTTTGTTTATTGCGCTACACAACCGGACGTAAGTAGCGGTAGCGGTCTTTTCCGCCAATTTTCAGTAGTACTTACGCACTCTTCTACAGCGCACCATTCCACTCATTTTTCGCTGCGCCAAAGAGCCCTCCATCTCGACCGTCTTTCTCACCTACATCGGCGGCAAATGCGTGTCGTTGATGCTCTACAGCTGGAAGACGTCGCAGGCCGCGCGTCGTGCCGGCATTTGCCTGCATAAGTGTGGCGTTGCCGCCGACACCAATGAGGTTTATGAAATTGTCAGTGTTTGCTTTTTGTTCTTCATAATTTTTTGTTATCTCAAGACTCGCATAATTTCAGGTTAATCATTTGTCATTGAAACTCTTGAATCACGCCATAAATTTTTCGGCGTGCGGTTTCTTTACGCTGGACATGGGTACTTTATATGCGGTACGCGCCTGGGAGCAATATTCTCTAAACAGCTTTCTTATTTTCTAGTAGCTTTTATTGCCGTTACTCTGGCATGCGTGTGCCTTCTGAAACCGTTATATTTTTATGTGTTCTTCTGGTATATTTTATAGGTTTGTGGCGCAATAACCAGCTATCTGATCATACTCATACAATTCGATATGGCCGCGCAACAAGTGCGCATTTCTAAGGAATTGGCCGCTGCGAATGAGACCACCGCCGTTGCGTTGGTTACTGAAAATTACACCATCGGCATGATGGAATCGACAACGCCATGTGATTAGATATGCAATGTAAATTTTTTAAAATTTTATGTATGTATATTTACAGTTTATAATTCGAATATTAAATATAGAATTTTACGATAATTGCATTATTAAAAATATTCACAATTTGATTAGACCACGTCCAGCAGCCGTAGCTGATAGTGTAAACGAAGACTGAAAAGAGTCGATCAGCCATTCGCAGCAACTCAGACTGACGTAAGGAACGACTTGTTGCATTTTGCGTCGAGATCTGTTCAAGAACTTAAGCCGCTCCTTCCCCAGCGAAATCGCTTCACTCTATGGGCTCTTGAAAAGTTGAAAAGTTTTTGAGCCATATTTACTTCAGCGATGAGACCCTTTTCTGTCTCAATGGATATAAAGATTGCCATATTTGGCACGAAGAGCAACTTGAAGAGATTCAAGAGCAGCCATTTTATTCCAAAAAAACAACGGTTTGATGTGTTTTGTGAGTCGGTGGAATCACTGGCACATATTTCTTCAAAAATGAGGTGATTCCGAGGCTGTCTTAAACATAATAAAATACAAATTTTAATTTTTTATCAAAAAAATCTGCACTAAATTAATCAGTCAACAAAATTGAAGTTGATACGAATGTTATTCTTATACCATCAACGACTTATTTCAAAACAGCGGTTTCGTGCTTGAAACTTTTTGTAGGGAAAATGACTTTTTCACTTCAAAATTTCATTGGATTGGACAAGATTTTTCCCAATTTTAGCAATTTCATAATGTCTCTAGAGTTCTAAGACGAAGTTCGAGCTAAAACATCTGCTATAATTTAGAAATATAGCCTATGTAACCGCTCGAAAAACCTTTCATTAAAAATGGAAGCGAACGATGAGTTCCTTCAATTTGTCAGTTTTTTTTCTCCTGTTCTCTAAACTGAAATATGTACTCAGATGGTCTCACTTGAGGTCATAAACGAACAAAATGTATCGCCGACATATCTTCTAATTGCGGTACAATTTTTTTGTTACTCATAAAATTCCCAAAGTTTTGTGATTGCTGCACAAATTCAAATTTTAGTAACAGCTGCAGATGTAATCCACTCATGAACAGTGCCTGCTTTAGGTGTAATGGTCGATAGAACTCCCGGTCGCAGTCAAGAAGGTTTTTGCTATGTATTCGTAGGAATTGAAAAGGAATAATTTAACCGGAGCTGTTTCTTTACTGCCAAACTTCTAATTCGGGTCTGTATTGCCCACCTGACAGTTTGGACCTGGTGGCTAAAAAATTTGTATGCTAAGTTAAGAGGTGCTGAAATGGGCATAAAGACGGTGAACCCAATAGATGCCTAAAATAGGCTACCGACCAAAACATCACAAAAGTCTACAAAAACATTTTGAATGACCGTAAAACAAAGTTGGCGAATTAGTAGATACTTAAAAGACATACATAMATCATATCATTCACGAGTATTTGGGCATAAGAAAGCTCTGTGATATTTGGGTGCCACGCAAGCTCTACTTTTACCAAAAACAACATCCATTTAATTAGTAGGAGCAAAGTTTTGAGACGTTCAAGCGTAATAAACTCGAGTTTTTGCATCGATATGTGAGAATGGATGAGACATGCCTCCATTATTTCATACCAAAGTCCAATCGACAATCAGCCAAGTGAGCCGCACAGGATGAATTCGGTCCAAATCGTGGAAAACTGCAACAGTCCAGTGAAGGAATTTTATTGACTACCTTGAAAACGGAAGAACCGATTGAAAGGCTGTGTCTCAAGTCAGTAAAAACGATGGTAAAAATTTATGAACTGGAATTCGAATTGCTTCCGTATTCACCATATTCTTCAGAACTTGATACCAGAAAAAATTGCTAGATTTCAAAATAATGGTCGCTGAAGAGAAATTTTCAACGAATGAAGAGATTATCGCCGAAACTGTGGTTTATTTTGAAGCAAAGGCAATTTCGCACTGCAACAAGAAAGGAAGATCTAAATTCGGGTATAACCGAAAATTTCATACTCTTGGAATATGCAAGGGTTAAAGCCAGGGAAGTACCTTTAAGTACATAATGCTTGTTAGTTTCAAGGGGTGTATGGCGAGTTTTCACGTTTTTATTCATTCTAAAAACAAATGTGGTTATAAATTGTAACCAAAAATTACCCGGAAATTGGAAATAAATCGCAAAATATCATCAATATTTGTTTGGTCATCTTCAAAGTAATCCACACCTCAGATGTAGTACACTTAAACCAACGAATTTTTCCAATCCTCGAAACACTTTTCATTGGTACTTTTTGGGATAACCTTTCGATCCTTCAGCGAGTTTTGATTCCATGGAACGGCAACTTCAGTTTGGGCAACAAGAAAAAATGAAAAACGTTGGTTTATCGACGGTATTCATTGTGTTTTCTGTTTTTAATTCGGCCACAATTGTGGCTCGATGCGATGGTGCATTATCAGCGCATAAAATCAATGAATTGTTCTTTCACAATTCAGGCCGTTTTCGTTAAAATGGAACTTCTTATTTCCCGTCTCCGGAACACATTTTTGATGCAGCAAACCAAAATTATCGAAAAAGGAGCATCTTTTTTATTTTTGTCTTTTTTTTTTTTATTTCAACTCATTCTTTTCTTTCCATTCCGATGACTGTTGACTTATTTGCACGTCAAACTCATAATTTCAATTCAATTTTCAATTTAATGGAAAAATAATATTTTTTTTTCTATTACTTACTTAAAGTCATGGTTCATTATTATAAGTTATTTTCGCTATAATTTCCTAATGGGCGTCTGGTTTTTTCTATTATCCAAAGTTTCTATTATCAAAATCGATAGCGCCAGCTTAAAAACAAATTAGCGTTAAAGAGAAAACAAATTATTTTCGACAAATCGAGGTAATTTCCATATTTTGTGAGTATTCACCGAATTCATTTCGATATTTTATGGGTTATATGCTAATATTGAGTGGTGACTAGTGTGCGCTCACTACTTATGAAATTATTGCGGTAAATTTAGAGATTAATCAGGCGGCGTACAAAGTGAATTGCTGCCAGTGCATAACTGTGAGCGTGCTTGCAGCAACTCATTAGTGGTTGATGTGTGTGCAACATGTTTGTCATCAAAATAAGCAGTAAACAGTGTTTCCACACACACACACACACACACACACACACACACACACACACACACACACACACACGTGCAGATACACAAATATTCAGCGTGTATTTACATGCCTTTGGGTGAGCGCACAAATACACCTTTATTACTTGGTACACACACACATATGTAAATACGAGTGGATTAGCAGTGAATTGCCGACCGCATTTCCCGCTCAATGACTTACACGCACACAAACAAACAAATATTTGGCCATGCGTAACGAATGGGTGTGTGTGGGTGTGTGCGCTAGGCTTGCGCTAGGCTTGCTGAATAGCGACGAGTGACTAGTGACGATTGACGAGCAATGCACTCCGATTGCATGCACCGCGGTCACATTACCGCTAGCTGTCAACCAATGCTGCCACACACCAATACACACAAACACACACATGTACATATATATGCTCGTATTTACCGTTGATAACACGACGCCGAACTGCCATTGCTGGGTTAGGCCGCAAATAGAAGCTGGCTGCAGTTAGGCTGCTGCCAAGCGCCCTTATTTGACGGCTTGGTTGCCTGACGATTTGACTGATTTCCCAGTGTGTAATTAATTAAATTTTCGCGTTGCGCAATGGCGAATCTGAAATGCGAAATATGAAATGCAAATGGATATTAATTAAAATGCCAATTAAAATTTTTTTTTTTACCCAAAAATATATTTTTAGAGCTCACATTTTTATGTCTGCGCATTAACAAAGCGCACACTATCGAGCGCTTGGCTGTGGAAAGAGCGCGCAAAAACAAGGCAAAAGCCAGCTAGTACCGCTGCTCAACGCCTAAGCGTATGCAAGGCTCGTGTTCGGGCAAGGCGAACGGCCAACAAAAATGCTAATTACACAGGCAATCATCATCGCCAACAACGCCAAAAGCACAGCCAATAAAAAGAACAACAAATCCTACAACAACAACAATAACCCTTGTAACAACAAAAAAGCTGTGTTGCCACTACTCTGGCTGCCAACATCATTAGTGTTACCGCTATTTGGGGCGTGAGCGAGTGGCGGCGACAAAAGACGCACGTTGCGCCTGCTGCAGGCAGTCGTCAGCCAGCAGCCTGCAGTCGACGGCAAATGCAGGTTACCGTGAAATATTGTATGGCTTTGGCATTGATGGCATTGCTGACTGGCGGCGGTGACTGGTTGCAAGGCTACTGCTGCCGCTACTGCTGCAAGTGACTGCCACCCGCACTCATTTGCCCTGCTCATGTTGCCGCATGCAACCAATCATTTGCCATTTGCAGGCTGCATGTAGAAATTGCAAGCTTTTTGCTGCTACGCTCATTTGAATGCGCCTTTTGTTTTGTTGTATTTTTTTTTTGTTTTGTTTGTTTTTTGTTTGCTTTGCTCTGGCCATAAAAATATGTATTTAAAAAATTTATATAAAAAGGGCGAGCGCCTAAAAATATGCTAAAAAGCAATGTGGCTATGAAAAAAGCACGAAAAGTGTTGAAAAGAGTTGGCGGTCGAGTGAATTGCCTGCGGCTAAGCCTTTTGAAAATCACGCCTAAAAAAATTTAAATGTCTGACTAAAATATACAAAGAAGCCGCGCAAAAACTTAAAAATTTGAGTGGTGTGGTTGGCCGTAAGCGCACACCAATTTATATGCGGAGAGGGAATGCAGTGCCTCATTTGGAAAAAGCGCGCTTCTTGCTTTGTAAATAATTTTTAAAAATATCCGAAAATTTTTTGCTTTATATTTTTTTTAGCAATTTTAGTTTGAAAATGAATGAATGAATGAATGACTTGAAAATTTTATAGAAAATTTTTAGCTGATAAACTTTATCATTTGAAGAATTCTTTTATTTAAATAAACCAAGTTAGTTTTTCCCTACATAGTATTATTCTCTTCCAATTGGACCCATTACATAATAGCCCATGGT